CCGGGCAGAGCTCAGGGCAGCACAGGGATCCCCAGCGGGCAAGGGGAGTGGGGCTGTTGTTCTGCCTGTAGCACATTCAGGGTAGTTCAAAACCCCCTCGGGGAGTTTTTTGGGGCATTGAGAGGCACACCCCGTTCACTCAGAAGCCGGGTTTATTCCACTTTGTCCCAATTTGGGCTTTACGACCCAGCTTTTTCCTGAAAGGCAGCTCTGGTTTGGGTTTATGGCTCTGAAAATCCTCTGTTTGTTGTAAAAGCCGTTGGTGTGCCGGGTACCCTGGCAGCTTATGGAGAGACTTTCATCTTGGGCTAATTGAGGAACATGGTTGGAACAGGATTAGAAGCATTTTCTTTCTTGTTCGCACCAAAAACTTCTGAGGAATTATTCTGAAGGGTGTATGCCAATAACGCTAACTAACTGGAATTAAATCAAGCTATGAAAGTGAAAATTTGGGTTAAATATTAGATAAAACTTCCTGGCAGTAAGATACATTGGGCTGTGGAATAGCCTGTGTGTGGAACGAGTTCTGCCTGCACTTTGAGAGCTCAATTAAAATATTTCTGTGTTGGCAGAGAGAAGGCCTACTCTTTTGATAATCTGACAGAGCATCTCTAATTCTTTCACCTTGGGTATATTAATACTACACATAATTAAAATCGGATCATGATAAATTAACTAATTTGCCCTTAGAGTGATCAAAGGCCCTTTTGCCCTCAGGGTTCATAGTAGCTGCTGTTTCCTCCCCTCCTCTGCCTCCATTTTAATCATCAGTCTGAAATGTTTATTGGAAAAAGAAGTATTTCCAGGAATTAGGCTATGAAAGTCACCAGCTCCTGAAGGTAGTGAAGTGTAAGGATGCCCTCTGCTGAGCATGGGCTCAGAAGTTTTGTTTTGGAAACCCTTTTGGGTTCAGGAAGCGCTTTCTCCAGCAGCTGGATGTCAGGTCGCAGTTGACTTGTTCCGACGCGAATTGAACCTGAAGCACAACCTGCAAGTATTTGATGAGGAGCGGAAACTAAAGATAATTTACCTGTAGGAGTTAAAAACCCCACAATAGCTCAAACGTCAACTTTCCAAAGGCATAGCACAGTTCTGGAATCCAGTGACCTGAACACCATGAGAAATACATTCAGTGAAGGAACGCTGATGCTGAGAGGTCCTAAACACATTAGCCGTAAAATACATCAGCGCTTCTACTGAGAGCTTTTTAGGCCTTGCAGTGATGGATGTTCAAGAGGAACATACTAATAAGCCCATCTTACAATTTGGTGTGCGCGAGTAAATTATTCTACTACTTATATGTGATACTTTAAGATTTTCTTTTTGCCGTATGGTTAAGTCCGCCAAAGAGCTTGTGGAAGGGTTTGCTGAAAGTCAAGAAATGTGTCTGTCCGTTAGCAGAAGTGAAGTCCTCCAGAGGAATGCCATGTCAGCTGCTTTGATTCTGAAAAGATTTGAGGATTCAGAAGAACCACAGACAGCAATGGAGAGCTCATCCTGTGCTACCAGATTAAATCAGATCAAAATTTCCTCTCGGTTAAGGCCAAGTCAGGACTGTTAGTCTCAAATTGTTGGAGGAGGTTCAGCACCATCTTAACTCCCTCTGCAGTGTCTTCCCTTTAACACACAAGAGTTTCAGAGAGCTGCTAACTGATGACTTGAAATTTAGATGTGTATGCTATGAAAAGCAGCAGTATCTTGGTGAGGCTAATGGTGAGGGTTTTGTCGTTGAATTAACCATATAAATAATTCAGTGTGCCTGAGGAAATCTGGAAGACGACAAGCTCTGAAATATATATTAAAAAACAAAGTACTGAATTCTAATTAAAATTCATGCTTATGGCAGAGTTTTCTCTTACAGAAGGTACATTTTTTTCTAGCCCTTATTTTAATCAACTGAGTCTAACGCAACTGAATGATTCTGTAACAATTTAGTTCATATATAACGATGCAACATGGCTGGAGAAACAGGCTAATAGGAACCTCATGAAGTGCAGGGTTCTGCACCTGGGGAGGAAGAACCCCAGGCTCAAATTTTTTGTCGTGAGTGTAACTGAGCACTGGAGCAGGTTGCCCAGGGAAATTGTTTCCGTCCGTGGAGATACTCGAAAGCCGTGTGGGCATGGTCCTGGGCAGTCATCTTTTGGTAGCCTTGCTGGAGCAGCGGGGTTGGACCAGATGTCCTCCAGAGATCCCAGCCAACCTCAGCCGTTCTGTGATAATACGTCTGGATAGCAAATTAGGCAAACTTGAACTAGATACAAATACCTTCTGACAGAAGTCAATACTCTTTGGTACATAGAATCAGAGATTTCAGAGCAACAAAACATATAATAGCAGCGCTGCAACTATGAACGCAGACAGTAGAGCGTTGTATGAGCCTGTGACACCGAACAGCAGTGCCCAGGATCTGGCTGCGTACGCTGAACAGATCCGTGCTCCGTTCTGCCGTTGCAACAAGCTGGATCAACTAGTTGGCATAAGGTAAAAATATCTTGACTCCCGAATTCTGCCGTCTGGGAATAAATTAGTGCTGGAGAATATTGCCATATATTATAAATAATAGTGTTCCAAACAAGTAAATCGTGTACGTTTATGTTACAGTATACGCTTGTCACTTATAAATATTCTTGTAAGCATCTGAAAGCGTGCAAGTCCAAATTCACATAACCGCGTAAAAACCTTCCTACATGAAGGGAATTGTACCCAGGTTTCTCCCTGGTATTGAATGGAGATGTTTCTCGCCTCCCAGGTCCTGAACTGGCAATTCAGAGTGGTTTGATTGCCTGCCTGATTGTTTGTGAGATAACGGTGAGATTGGCAGTGACAGGGTAATTTACTGAAGATTGCAGTGTCAGACTATATCCAAGGGGGCTTGCGAGCATAAAGATGTGATTCGCATGACTGACAGGACGCTGAGAGATTGATATGCCAATTGGAAGTTCATGGTGTCATCAGAAGCGTTCGGTCACAGCATCCCATAATCTACTGCGCGATGAGGTCGCTGCAGCCATAACATATGCTCACCTCGAATAACGGGTGTACCAAAAAATGTGATGCAGCTTGAACAGGCAAATGTAAATTCATCAAAGGGAGTAATTTATATCCTGTGTTTTGCTTCTGCTGTTTGTAATGTGCTGACTGGTGGTCACCTGAGTAAAAGAACTGAGCAGACTAAAGCGTGGGCAGCCTCGAGTCCGTAGCTGAGGAGGTGTCACAAATGGAGAAGGAACACAGGATGCTGAGAAGAAGTTCTCAGGGCTTAATGGGAAAACTGCCTTCAGTTACAATCTGAAGCTAATATATCCTTACAATTATTATATAAAGAGGGTAGGAAATGCACTGTAGCAAAAAAAAAGAAAAAAAATTTCCTCCCACCACATTGGAAAGGATTTTGGGATGAATGGAGCTCTTAATGCAAGTAGGCAACTGACCCTAAAGCAGTGTGTAGCTCCTGCAACAAGGTAGTTTGTCTGACTTAAATTTCCTTGGACGGCTCGATGGAATGTTGTCAACATAACTTTGCAGTTTGGGTTTTAAGTCAGAAACAGTCATTTCAGGCACACACAGTCCATTGGAAATACAAGGCTAATTGTAAAATAAGAAAGCTTTTATAGGTTTGAGTTTGGGTTGGTTTTAATTTTGTTGCTCTGGTTTTTCCCCTTATTGCTCTGTAGGGTGATGCTGCTCTGTTGTGTATTTGAAAATCTTGAAACTACACGAGCCATGATCTTACTCTAAGACATTTCTGTCAACTAACCTACTGGTACATTCTCTCTCGTGTATGATATTCATCATGGGCCCAGACCATATTTCTATTAAAAAATCAGCTTAATACGCCTTGAGGAGTCTCTAGAAGTTTAGAGACCAAAGCAGATTGTGGATTGAATGCCTGATTCTTGCCAGAGTGGATGAACAAATGTTTCTAAATTGTTAGAGTTTATAATATTATAAAGTAATGGTTATTGATTTCTAAATTACAGTAGAACTCCATTGAGAGAACATATTTCAGTTAAATGCTGATATCAAAGGACAGGATGATGCTAAAAGTTGTTACAGTGTGTGCTAGAAATAGTGACTTGTGATCTAGGTATACAGATCCATCTCCAGACTGAGGATTCCATTTTAATTTCTGATATTCATATTCTATTTTTTTCTTTTAAATACTTAAGAAATATTGTTGATGCACAACCTAATATGTAATATGGTGATTGAACCCACCAGCTTTGTGATTGATCCTTCCTTATCCAAGCATGTGAACAAGTTCTGATTCAGGTATCTCTGGGAGGTGAGTGTTCCAGCAGCGCTTCCCTATGAATTACGAAAAATGGGTACAATGTAGTTTTTGCTTAGGTAATGGTAACTTTCTCTGCAGTACTCCTCTCCTTCCCTTGTCTCCCCAAATGAAATTAAGCAGCATAATTCTCAAGACTCTTACAATAAGGTCTAAAAAGTCTGTAAAATAAACAGTTGTGTTTTTTTTTTAAACACACAAAATAAGAAACAAACAAACTAATTAAAAAAACCTGTACTACTTCCGCTATTCCTTCTTCTTAATTTCATCCCTTCACAGCTTGCTTACTGAAAGGGTTGTCAGCCATTGGAACAGGCTGCCCAGGGAGGGGGTTGAGTCCCCGTCCCTGAAGGTGTTTAAGAGACGGTTGGATGTTGCACTGGGGGGCATAGTTTAGTAGGTTGGTAGGGCTGGGACAAAGGCTGGACTCGATGGAGTTCAGGGTCTCTTCCAGCTGAAATTATTCTATGATTCTCTGGGACAGGTTCGTATCTAATGCTGGTTTGAGTTAATTGTAGCAGCAGTGGCCTTCAACCACTGCACTGAGAAAGTCTCGCCCTCGTTGCATTTTTGGTCCAGTTATGGGGTTTATAGTGTAGGGATGTTAATGAAGAGCAAGCGGGAACGTTTTTCCCCAGCATTTTAAGATGCCCATTAGACACTATCGCTTGATCGCTCCTGCAGCCAGCTGATTCTTACTTTTCAGACGGCTTGGTCGACTGCCTCGACCCGGACTGCTGCCTCCAGTCGACGTGTCAGAACAGCCTGCTGTGCCGGGGCTCCCGCGACCCGCTCGACATCATCCAGCAGAGCCATTCTGGTTCTCCGGCTGTGAAGTCGTTCTACGATCGAATCAAGCTCTTGGTGGGGAAGGACAGCACTCATATCATCCCGGGAGAAAACCCCTTCAACAGCAGGTAGCAGCTCTAAATACGATGTGGTGTCGGTGCGGTTGCGTTGTACGGGAAGAATTCCTCCCAGGGATTTCACTCCTGTTTTAACACAGGAGGTTCTTTCCACGTGCTTCACCTGTTTCCGTCTCAGGCATCATTCCCACTGAGCATACTCTGTAATCTGTGGTTTGGCCTTTTTTGTATGGCAGAGTTTTATTAGCATTTTAACATATTGACAATACCTCGAAGGTTTCTACCACTGAAAGAGGAGCTTCTGAAAACTGCAATCTAGAACAAGGGAAAACGCAAACTGGTTTCCAGGTTAGAGATTGAACTTTATTTAGTGCTTTTAAGACAAGTTTCAGTAATGGAATAACATTTAAAATTATTTTTAAAATGCAGTAATGTAAGGAGGTTTATTATTTATTCCTTATATAAAACTGTTTTACTTGGATTTTTTACTTGCATCATCAATACATCTGATTAGTTTTTTGTTTTCTTCTTGGCTTTCTTTCTCTATGTCTGCTCTTCATATGATTATCAATTCTGTATTTATAATGAATCTAAAAGCCAGCACATGGTTGATATTTGATGCCACTGTATGCTTACAGGAGCAGTGTTTATATTTATCAATATTATTTAAATATGTCTCTATGGAAGAATGCTAAGAAATTGATGAATATGCTGATTATGTTCATATTGCCGAAGTTAAAACAGAAGAAAGAATTAATTTTAGACAACGCCTAAAAGATTGCACTTCGTGACTTGAAACTGTTTTTTCAGTCAGGATTTCATTATAGGCTTACGGGGTGATGTAGAGCAAGTCATTAAATATTTGTCTGTAAAATGAGGATCATAATGTTTCTGGATACACCAAGTCCCCATTGTATTTATCCCTGTGATGCTCAAATAGCACAATGATTTCCCTATTCTGTCAGAAAAGTCTTGTTGGATCCTACTTTATATAATATAGACTTTATTCTATCCCATAAAATACTCTATGCGTAAACACATGGAGTAGTTTGGAAAATATGGAAGAAAGTTGTCCCATCTTCATATAAATTTGATATGATTTTTTTTTTCATCACCTCTGTAAAAAGAAATTGCTTGAAGTTTTCTATAATATTACCTGAAAAGGAAAACAGGACAAGAGAGAGTTTTACTAATCAATGAGGCTGAATAATTTGTCCGAAAAGGAATATGGGCTCCAGCATAAAAAGCAGATAGTCCACAGCCTGGTTATATTTTACAAAAGCAGGAGATTACCATTCCAAATTTCAAGATGAGTGTAGTGATATGCAAACATTCTTGCACCATCCAAGAAATATTAGAAATTATTAGAAATAATCAAGCTGCTTTTTTTCTGGATGTGGGTTGGAGGCTTCAAAACAGTCTAGGAATTAGAGCTCTAGACTAGGAGCCTCTGACTAAGCAGGAGCTCAACTGAGTTTCCTTTGAAAAAAATCTCATTTGAAATTTTAGATTTTTTTTTTAAAAAAAAATACATTTTCAAGGGTTCCTAGTGGTAGTGTTAGTTCTGGTTTATTCATCTGAAGTACGTCAAAAACTTTAACGTATCTTTGCAAGTGACATATTAATGGCTTCTTGAAATTGACCTTAGAGTCTAAGTAATGAAGGTGCTTTTGAGAATTCTACAGCTCAGCTGTTATTTTTGGTACCAATTTTAGGCAAATCGAATGTATACTGTCAAATTCAAAGTTTTAAAACTTTTTAAAAGTGCCACAGGGTTAGATTCCAAGTTTCATGTGTACTGAAGCTACTATAGTCTCAAGAAGTAGATTCCGTGAAAGGTCCTGGCTTGTCTTTCTTAGCTCAACCTCTCATTCCATTGAGAGAGATGAAAAAGTGGGACAAAATAGTGATTATGATTTTTTCCAGCACTCTTATAAGAAAAAGAAGTTATGTCCTAGCCTACTAAAGCAATAAATAACAAAATGTATTGATGGCAAAATTATTTGGATGTCACTGATTACTACTGTGCAGAAACAAGATGAAGTGAAGAGTTTTAGGGAAAAAAATAATAAGCTGTGTGTTTTTACATATTTAACTTCTGTGTTAAAAAAAAATGGGCTTAGTGTATCAGCTTACAAAGATTACAAAAAAAAAGGTTGCCCTGTGTGTGATTATTAGTCAACATATTACTTATAAATCCTAGTATTCTTATAAATTTTAATATCCGTTGTGTTCCGTATTTTGGCATTCTAGAAATAAAAGGGAAGGTTGTGTTCTTCTTCAAATTATTTCCGGAAATATTAAAATGGAAGGTAGAAAAATTAAGTCATGAACATTATTATTTCTGCTATATGATGATTTCTTTCTAATTCTGCTTTCTGCACTGTTTCCCTATAGAAGCTTGAGTGGTTGTCTTTCTACATCTATTTCTCTGTGTTTGTAACATAAAATCATCCAAGCAAAATGAATAACGCCAAGACAATTAGCTTAGTCTAATGTATTCCCAAGTAGATTTTCTCAACAGGTATCAATTTCTATTAAATTCCATATTCTGTTGCAAAATGTTGACCTGGAGGATCAGGAAACGGTTGAAAGTTCTGCAGGAAAAGTAACAGAAATGGCCCATTTTTGTAAATTAGTTTCTTTTACGTAATATTGAAGAAAAGATTATACCTTGTTTGCAATTAAAAGAATGAGGAAGTAGTTGTTAAATAGCCAGTATGGTACAGTTTGAAGTGTTCAAGGTGCTGTGATGTAGATTTCTGAGTTAGCAGAAAAAAAACTGAAAACGAGCCCTGATAGTGCTAGTGGAAATAGATGTTCTCTGGTCAGGGGCTGATGCAAGCATCACAGCTGTCCCAGAACACGGCTGCATTTTGTCAGCTCTCAGCACAACCCAGCTGGGTTTAATCTCGGGTCCAGGACCATGTGGTTGGGGATGCCGTGCCTGCCCGTGCGCCTGAAGCCGGAGGACGTTCAGGGGCGGCTCCAGTCCTGCTGGCTCAGACACTTCACAAACGGGGCTTTTCATTTTCTGGCTCGCTCTACAGCTGCAGACAAGAGTTGGTGGCTCATGCTGCAAGCACATAGTGTCAAAAAAGGAATCTTTTCACCTGAAACTACAGTGACATGCCATGTTGCAGTCGCTGAGATGATGGGTTGTGGCAGGATTTAACTCTCCCCCTATTTCCCAGGATCACCTTTCTGCTTTTTCCCACGTTTCCAATGCGGAAGTGGAAACCACCTGCAAGGAGCTTCTCCTTTCCCACCTCCCTGTTACCCTCCAGCTCCCCTCACAGGGTAGAGGGAAGGTGGAAGGGAATGGAGCCAGGGGATGGAAACTCCTCTGCAGCTGGGAGAGGAGAGGGGCAGGAGCAGCACGGCCGTGTCCGAGAGCAGAAGAGTGGGGAGAAAGCGGCTTGACTGTGCCTCTTGCAGGAGTCACTTGTCTTCACCTCCCTTAGGTGAAGCAACTTTGCTTACCATGCTGGCAGAGAAAAAACTCTTTGCTTTGCCTGTGCGTAAAGCTCACCTTAAAACCAAATCCTTTTCCTCCACCGATAAAGCGAAAAGCAAAGGTTACAAACCAGGACCAAATGCAGTGTACAAACAACAGGCACTCCCTGGGATGAAGGAATGGAAAATTTATTTGGAAAATTAATGGAATGGAAAATTAATTTGGAAAATCGGTTGTATAAAGAAGAGGCATGGCGCACGCTGTGTTTTTCAAGTGTGTTGGGCATCCACAGGCAGGCTCTTGTACCCAAGGAGGGTTTTGAGAAGTGCCCCATCATCATTCCAGGGGGACTTCGGGTTCGGGCTTGGCTGAATGTGAGGTGGCTTTCTAGTCTGCAAAGCCTCATTAGACAATGAGACAAAGCCTCGTTAGACAAAAAAAGCACGAACTCTCGCTGTGTGTACACACCCCTTCACTGCATGGATAAGCAGTTTCCTGATTTAAGTATATAGAGGGAGCTGGGCAATGTTGTCGTATCTTCAGTGTTCTAAAAATCCTTGGAATAAATTGGATTTAAAGTAAATGAGGCGCAAGTTCCACTGCTCAGTTTATAAACAATGTCACTTTCCTTTTGGAACTCACTTTCATACCTTTTGTGGTCTTTCTTTTTCAGTCTTGTGTCTCTCATAAGAGGCCAAGTGGTGACTACAGATGGAACTCCTCTAGTTGGGGTCAACGTGTCATTTGTCAAGTATCCAAAGTACGGCTTCACCATCACTCGGCAGGACGGCACGTGAGTTTCCTTGCTTCGCTGGGGCCCTGTTTCCTGTGGAGTGTCTTTGCTGATTAACAGATGGCACGATCTAATGGAACCATGTGGTACCATGCATTGCTTTCCTCCCAGGGCAAAGAGCTATTAAGTAAACACAAAAGTAATTTTTCACGTGGCATTTTGAATGCTAACCGTGAGTAAATATGAAAAGGCTGACTTTGGATAATAACGTGTTAGCAGGCAGGCTCCTTTCAGATAAATTGCTCTGCATCTATGAAAACATTTGTGGACTACAGTAATATCCAGCTGAGACCAGAAATATTTTATTTTAAAATGCAAGGCAGGCAAACACCAACAGAAAAAAAAAAAAGTGGTTTCATTGTAGAATAGTATATTTTGTTGAAAGTTCCCTTCTGCCTCTCTTTTGAAGATCCACTATCGTTTGAGTTTCTTTAGGGTAGAATGTAGTCAAAAGATTCTAATTGAATGCATTTAGACAATTTCCTGCTGTGCAAAAAAAAAGTGCTTTTTCCCTCTTGTATCAGCTGATTTGAAATGCACACGAATTTAGATACACAAAAATCCATGTGTCGTGGTTTATCTAGTTTACTGGCTGTGGTAACTAAACCAGTTTATCTGTGCCACATGCATTGTAAACATTTGCCATTTTATCTTGATCTCTCATGCAAACAGTTGAATTGAAATAATTAATATGAGTCAACTGAACTACAGGGAGTATTTAATTTCCACATTTCCCAGAATATTATTCTCTTATAATAAAAGTATGATGTTGTTGATTTCAGTGGTTTAATATTACAGTAAATGGTGAGCTGAACTGTAGTTAGAGCTGAATAGATTACTGAAATCTTTGAGTAATTTGTTACGTTGCCAGCATTTACACAAAACGACTGATACCTACTTCTGTTGTCAGAACAACCTGGAAGTATTTTTTGCACCTGGGCCAGATTTCAGAATGCCCACGCAGCTCCACATGATTGCTGTGATGATGTAGGGGGCTGGGAGTAATACCTGATCTCTCTGAAAAACGACAAATCGATTGTCCTGGGGACAGTAATTTTTATCATATTTGTAGGACACAAGCATCAAAACTTTTCATTGCTTTTCTCTTACTGCCATGTGTCCTTGATGGTGGCGTCCCTGGTCGCAGGGAGGCTGGATTAAAATGATCTCTAAGGTCCCTTCCAGCTTAGGCCATTCTGTGATTCATGTCCACTTGTGCTGTGCTTGATGGGCAGCACCTTTTAGGAAAGGACGAAATCAGTGTCCGGCTCAGTATGAACTTGGCTCCCCTGCTGATTCTGTGTGTAAGGGTGACCTGTAATAATAGATGTGGTGGTTTTTTTGTTGGGTATTTGTTGATTATTTAATGCAGATTTTATAAAGGAACTAGGTGTGCCTCAGTGACTTCAAGTCATGGTTATCAGTGGTTTAGTCACCAGAGGTTCAATATCCCATTACTGATCATTCAAACATGACACTTCAAGTGTCTCTGTTGCTCTAGGTACAGCTGTGTAGCTATATACCTATTTCATTAGTCAGGGATGCTGTTACTGGAATTATTCAGTCCTGTTACTTCTAAAGCCCACATTTTTCCAGGTTTGACTTGGTTGCAAATGGTGGAGCATCGCTGACCTTGCACTTTGAACGGGCCCCGTTCATGAGTCAGGAAAGGACAGTGTGGTTGCCATGGAACAGCTTCTATGCCATGGACACGCTCGTGATGAAGACAGAGGAGAACTCCATTCCCAGCTGTGATCTAAGTGGTTTTGTCCGCCCTGACCCCGTCATCATTTCGTCACCGCTTTCGACTTTCTTCAGCGACGCTCCTGGCCGCAATCCCATTGTACCAGAAACCCAGGTAAGACCAGCGTGAGTGAAAAGGATGTAGAAATCAGTGGTCAGATGCTACTGCTGACCTGAGCACAGTGACCATTTGTCCCCCGAAATTGCTGTAGCAAATGCCTCTGTGGAGTTGCATTCTTTCCGACAGATACCAGGTTTTCTAAGGAGGCCTGCAGAGATATCCCAGGCTTCTGTCACCCAGACACATTTGATTACCTCAGGCCTTCTCATCATCATACGATATTTCAAGTATATGTCTATATTTCATTTGACAGCTCAGGTCTTCCAGGAGAATTTTGCAAAGGCTGGCTGTGTGGTGCTAACCTCAGGCTGCTTTCTTGTCTGTTATTTAGAACAAAGGAAAACTCTACTATAGTTTCACTACTTGGTTCAGTCAGACTTTATACTAACTACTACTGGGAATTGTGGGTTGCTATGACTGTATTTCTTACGTTCCCCTTGCATACAACTTGCAGTACAACTACTTGTACTTATTTGCATTTTTGCCAGTAGCGAGCTCTCAAAAAGAAGTGTACACCGATGCCAAGTAATTACTTGCCAGAAACGTCAGTTGAACTGCATCCCTGCACTGATTTGAGGATAGCCATATCCCATAGCAGAAAGTCTTAAAGTTCATAAGAATATGCAAGGCGATATTATTCTTAAAAAAAATAAAGTGCTGATGTAAAGTGTTTGATCTGTTTCCTCTTCAGGTTCTTCATGAAGAAATTGAGATCCCCGGCTCTAGTATAAAGCTCAGCTACCTGAGTTCCCGCACTGCTGGATACAAATCCTTGCTTAAGATCACCATGACTCAGACGCTCGTGCCGCTGAATCTGATCAAAGTTCACTTGATGGTAGCAGTAGAAGGGCATCTGTTTCAGAAATCATTTCAGGCGTCTCCCAACTTGGCATATACATTTATCTGGGACAAAACAGATGCGTATGGTCAGAAGGTTTACGGGTTGTCAGATGCTGTAGGTAAGTCAGCATATACAAGCTCCAAAACTTCCGAGATGATGCCTGTGATTCTTAGTAAGAAAACTGCAGAAGTTTCTTATGGAGAAGCAAATATATAGCCTGAACAGTTCTTGCCTTCCTGACACAATTTATCTTTGTGTTATGTTATTCAGAGGGTCTCAACAGCATCAGCATGCCTGGGTTTCCTTAGAAGGTTTAGACCAGACAGTGGGAAAAACTGGCCACAGGAACTTGGGTGAAACCTAGTCCATCACTATGTTTGTATTTTCTTTCAGTTAACAAATGAACCTCGTGTTGGACTGGCTGGCATTCTTCGGTGCATTTGGATTTTCATGCATGCCATTATTGTAGACTCTTGTGGTATAATACATTTGAAATTAAAATGGTGGTTTTCTAATGCTGTTCAGTCTTGTAGTTCTGTAGCTGTTTTTTGTTTCCTTGATTCTGGTGGGTGGGAAAAAGGAGTGATGGTCATAATATTTTAAGTTTTCATTTTCATTTGAGTATCATCATAATTTTGATACAGTAGTGATAAAAATGGGCATCGGAGCCTTGCCACTGTGGAAAGAAAAATGTATTTTTTAAATCTTATTTCTTTTCTATGTTTTCTAAAATCTTCTTTGCTATGGCTTTTCTTTCTTATGTTATTGCATAGAATATGGCTTTCCTGAGTAATGCTCACAGTGCACGTGTGCTTAAAAGCACACAGAATTTTCACAGCTCCTTGGTATATGGTATGTAAGATGTACACACAAAACGATGCTGTGAACATCTGGCAAATCAAGAGTTTGATCTTCTCCTGTTATTATATTTTAAAAATTGTATTTCTCACTCTCCTCTCACCAAATCAGTCACTTCCCAACACCAGCAATTCAAAGTGAGCAGATCCCCACAGAGTACATGGGAATGAAGTTTCAAATTTGTGTCTAGTCAGATATCTGAATTTAATATTGTAGAATAAGAGAGAGGAATATAATCACTCCATCTTCTTGAGGGGACTGAGATACTTGAATGCTGAATGATTTTAATGTGCTGTGGACACTTAGTTCGGTGTTTGTTCAGCAAGTATATTAGATTTTATTTTATTTCAGTTTCTGTGGGTTTTGAATATGAGACTTGCCCCAGTCTCATTTTATGGGAGAAGAGGACAGCACTGCTGCAAGGATTTGAACTAGATCCTTCAAATTTAGGAGGATGGTCTCTGGATAAACATCACGTACTTAATGTCAAGAGTGGTGAGTTAGTTAATTCCATGTGTTTTCTGTGCTATATGGTCTTTTATCTCTGAACGCTTTTTTTTTTCGCATTATATTTACTCATTAAAAATGCAATTTCTTCACCATCTTTGTCTCATCTTTAGCTCAGCAAGGTGTGGGGTTGGCAGAAAATTTCTTTAGAATTTTAATGAATTTTTGACTGTTCTGCAGAGCATGAATTTCACAAAGTCCAATTCTTTATCCTCTTGCTCTGTTGTTCATTTATTCCCCTGTAATGTCTTTCTGCCTTCCTTCCCTGTTTTTTCTGATATTCTGGTTCCTTTTGTTTGACCTTTTCCTCTCTAATCTGAGGTCAGGCTTAATAGGAACACGAGTCTGTGACAAGATACCGAGTCTCATTTGTCTTTTTTTTGTTACCTGTTTGGTTTTTCCTCGCTTCTCTTTGCCTTTATGTGTCCTAAGCTGAATGTTCCTGGTCTTCCTATTTTACCAGAGGCTGTTAGGAAGCTGAAGGCTTAGCAGATATTTCACTTGATCCCGGTAAAGTGTTTTATACAGCCGTCCGCTGATCCCCGCGTTAAAAAATAAAAGTCTGTTGTTGCTGATGAGGTCTAAAGTGTTGTTCAGAATAGATGAGAGCAAGTTATTTGAGCACAACTGAAGCGCTGCGCAGCGGATCACACTCTGCTGAGACAGTCCTATGGGTAACCCCTGGTCCTCACTGTTGGCACCGGTGGGGAGCCAGTTACACGGGGATCACACAACTGCATTTCCAAAAGAGCACGAGGCTGAAGGTTTCCAGCCAGATTTCTGCAATCTTTGACGGTGTTGAAAATGGTCACTCTGACAGAGAATCCACTCCCTTCTCCAAGCCCCTGTTCTTTGAACAAATGTTTTGAAAATAAATCCTATCTTAAAGGCATTTCTTGAAGCCTAATAGGGATCCTTCCCACAAGCTCCCTTCCTGCCTTTTATCCTTGCTGCTCAGCAGTCCTTCTAGGAGTTTTGTCCTTCTCTCTTCTCATTTCCTGGGCTGTAGTCTCCTCCGGCACCTCCTTTTCTTATTTTTCATTTTCCATGAGAGGTGGAAAGAGAACATTGAGGTTGGGACGATATTTCAAACCAAGTGGAACATCGGAAATGGTGGGAGCGAGAGGATCCAGGGCCACAACTAAGGAACACGTCTTCTCCGCTGTTTGCCGCCTTGCTCCCCAGTTAACAAGACAGTCTAAACCAACGTGCCAGGCCAGAAAGTTGGACAGCAGCAGGTTGTTTGGGTTTTTTCCGTAATGAATACCAAAGATCTGTTTGTGGTAGTGTACACATGTGTTTTTTAATGGACAATCTTCGTTACACCTTTATTTTTACTGCTGCAAAGCTCTTGCACTCCTTTTGTGCCACCAAAGAACCAAATGCTGGAGTCATTTCAGGGCTTCCCAGCGGCTGCTGAAAGAGAACTGCCTCAAGCCCCCTACAAGGAACGATGGTAATAACCACTTCTCCTCCTCTTTGTTGTTAGGTATATTACACAAAGGCAATGGAGAAAATCAGTTTCTGACTCAGCAGCCGGCTGTGATAACCAGCATTATGGGGAACGGGCGCAGAAGAAGCATATCCTGCCCTAGCTGCAACGGTTTGGCAGAAGGAAATAAGCTTTTGGCCCCTGTAGCGCTGGCAGTGGGTATTGATGGAAGCCTCTTTGTGGGAGATTTTAACTATATTCGGCGTATCTTTCCATCCAGGAACGTTACCAGTATATTGGAGCTGAGGTAAGATGTTCATCTTAGCACTTCATTTCTGTAGCCTGTGCTCAAATCAGCCTTTACCATTACTTTTTATAATTTTGTAAAACATTGTCACTTTCAACCTATTTAAATTCCAGTGGAGAAATGGGGCACAGAAATACATAGTTCAAAGTCTGTAGCTTACCAGAGCAGTGACTATAAGGAAGGACTAAAGACTACAAACCAACTTGTACAAAAAGCACAAACCATCTTCTTCTGTCGGGTTGATGATCATTTGATACAGTCTCCCCTCAGTACGATACATGGCTTAGTTCTGTTTGAAAACTACAGAATTGACTGCCCTTAGGTATTGAGCCACAGCGACAAGCAAAGAGATAAAAGTCTTAGGAGGTTAGAAGGAAGGTTTTCCTGTCAATGGTTTTGAGAGCCACTTTTCCACCTCTTTCCCATACCTGTAGGTGATTTCTGTAGGTTGACAAGGGCAGTTAAGGTTGACAGAGTCACTTTGCGTCCTCAGAATTCAAATTTTTGAAGTTATATCTCTGTAACCCTGTCCTGCCCCATGCCCCTCAACGTTAGGATTTGGTCACTTAACAGAGAAGGCATGAGTGTAGAGTGTACCACTTCACCCATTTCTGTTCCATCTCCTTTTTCCATTGTTCTAGGAGAGGCAAGAGCTATTGCTTCAGACCATAACTGGTGCAACTGGACCTTATAGTTACAGCACTCTTGAGTATTTGCAGGAAAATGAGGAAAACCAGCTTGCACTGGCTATCTTCTGATACTTCTGCAGCCTGGTCAGGCAGTAGTATTATTGCTCTTGTAAATTGGATATAGTTGCAAAGTACATTAAGTGAATTTAGGTCCTTAGCCTGGTTTTAAATGATATGGCCAGTAACCAATTCCTCTGCTTCCACTGTACTTTTACTTCTTAATTAGTAAGAAAAAGTGTAAAATGATTGGACTGTTAGAGAACAGGAGACCTACCTCTATTTTACACCTCTCTTCCATTCATGTCATTCTGTTGATGTCACTATTGTGAATTCTGATTTTATGTAAGAGAGCTGAAATCTAATTTAGGCCAATTCTACTCTGAAATCACTCTGACACCTACCTCATACATCATCAGGCTGCCTCATATTTTTATTTTTTTAAAAAAAAATCATAGATCATCCAATGCTCTATTCTAGCAGCTCAGTATGAACCGCAGAAGGTAGCCGGCATGGATGTGTGACCTGCAATAAATATTTACATCAATATACACTGTAACTCTGCATTATATAGAATACGCTGATTTTATTTTTTCTTCTAATCTGTTCAGTTCTGTTTAGCTTTCTAGTTAATAGGACTACAGCTTTATAGGTGAAAAAAAACATTTTCAAATTAGGACACCTAGTGTAAGGCATTTATATGCACTTTACTTCCTAATATCAGCCAGCAGCAAAGTTTCCTAGCAACCCTGATCCTGGAAGGTGCTGTCTCCAACAGTATTAGTCCGAGTACTTTGCCTTCTCTCTATGCAAGAGAGAATTTGGGCTTTCCAACATGTGTCAGGGAAAATGGGAAAGGACATCAGTAAAGAAACAGAAGATGAACTTCTTAATCTGCTTTTGTCCACTTCTCTTTTATGAAAGTGGTGTAGCTTCTTTAGCCTCTCTTATAACTATTAGCAATGAATTAGCACTAAAGTGATTGTATTTTGAGTGCTCTTGGGCAGCTGGAAATAACAATGAGATTATTAGGATTTGCAGTGTAGTCTTTTGTACTCCCTGTTTCTCTATGGGGAGCTGAGGTCCGTTCCAGCAAACATCATCTGCAGCAGTAATTGTGATTTAGTGATCACCTTAAAATCCATGAGTTACATGGGTGTGAGTTTGAAGATTTGAGCCATTTAAGTCTGAATTAGAGTCTTCAGCCAATATCAAATAGCTTGAATAATGTTTCAAGTAGTATGTTCAGAAGTATTACCAAAATACAAACCAAATACATCACTGTATTTCGATTTCAGGGCAGATGCAATTTTGGTTTTACATAAGCTGATATAAATCTTGAGTAACTTTGTAAGTAAGGAATATCCCAGTGTGCACATTTGCTTCGCACTGTCCTTTACGAAGGTGCCTGATCTCAGTGGCCAGTAGGAATTTTGACTCAAGAATGTTGCACATCAGGCTTGATGTTGGTTTGGCAAGTTTGGGGCTGCGCATTGAGTGCTGCAGCTCAGGAGCTGTGCACCAATTTGTTTCGTTCAGTGGATATTCCTAAATGGAAATGACAGAAACACAGGGAAACACTGTGGTGTAGCGAATGTATTAATTTACTTCTCGAAAGCGGGGGATGTTTTTCCTTTGACTTTGTGTTTAGACAGTAAACCATCGATCAGTTAATGCTATGTATCTCCCATTTTACAGTATCTTTAGGTACTTAGAAGGCTTTTTTTTTTTTTTTTTCTCCCTAAGATTTGCTTTGGTAGGTTTAAATAGACACCAAGTAGCAGCCAAGCTTGCTTTCAATGATTACTTTAGAGATTGGGAGGAAAGGAAAATAAGCTGTGTAGCAGAAACTTGTTTAGAAATAACCTGTTGGACTAAACTATTTTGATTAAAGAGGTTGCTTCCAACTGGCAGACAGTGTCTGAAGCACAGTGCTTCTGCCTTCCCAGTTCTGTATTCAGAGAACTTTTTCCCCTCCTAGCCCACAAGCTGCACATATCATACCCACACGAAAACTCTTTCTACCGTCCAGAAAGTTTCCTGTAAAATATATGGGGGCTGGGGGGGTGGGGGCAGGGGTCTCCTACTAGGGAACTAGCTTGCAACTCTCTCTCCCAGTCGCTCTTCATCTGTAAGCCAAGCTAAGGCTAGTGCTGAAAAGAGAAATCTTCTCCTGTGTCCTTTTGTAAAATAAAACAAATACTATGTTTGCTTTACCATCTATTCTCCAGCTAACTGTTTGTTCTTTTTTCTTCTGTTCCCTTTCTATAAAGAAATAAAGAGTTTAAACATAGGTAAGACACGAGCTCTTTCCCATATAATTTGATATGGTTTGTTTGCCTCATTGTGTTTGCTTTTTGTGTTGTGCTTCTTGTGTAATGTTATGTTCTTCATGTACCATATATAGAAACATTTTTACGTGCTAATTGTGTGTTATGAATATGATAAGCGTTAGCAATTATGAAATGCAGTCAAAAAGCAACCAAATAAGTTCTGACAGTAATTAAAAATTTCTAGTAGAATGCAAGTATAATGAACCCCAAGCTAACTTCTATATAAACACTTCTCCCTGCTCTCTATTAATTGGTCTAAGATGTTGAGGTAAACTACAACAGCAGTTCTGCAAATGTCAGAAAGGTTCACAAAAGCACTAATGACTACAAATATGTCAAAAACTCATTTTCTGGTCATTAATGATTTTCTGAACCCTCTGTCCTTTTTCATAATTTAGTTTCTATTTTCTTTCATCAAATACATTTAACGGTCAGTCAACCTGTGGGGCTGGTTATGTCCAAACATTAGATGCAGTCACTGTAAGATTGAGGAGGAAGGTGTAACCTTTTGGGACTTTAGGAGAAAAGATTTTTCATCATCTCACCCGAGCTGTAGGCCTTCCAGATGGCAGCAGTGTAGGAAAATGCTTGTACCTTCTTCTGTGCCACACCTGGGACAGGGAGGATGTTCACTCTGGGGAATATCAAGGGCAAGAACAAGAAGAGCTGTTGTAAACTGTTCCATAGTGTCCTGTGCATCAGCCTTTTTAAACCATATTTTCCATGACTGTAATACAAGTTAGATGCAAAAGATGGTCTGAACTAAACAGTATGATTTCCCCTCAGAATATATTTTGGTACAGCAAGTGTAATGCCACCGAGTTTTCTTACTTGGGTGAATACGTTCACAGTTAGTTAATGAGTATTGGTGGTGCTGGAAGGCTCCTCGTTTGCGTGAAGTAAGCGTAGTTAATTTTTCAGGGGCTTACAGATTTGCTCTGGGCAGCTTCTCTTTTTGGTTAAACTTGAAGGAAAGCTGTTAGCTGTGCTGTTGTGAATGTGATGCACAAATGAGAGGAACAGGAAGGACGACGTGATGTTGGGCACCCAGCTCCCGCACAGAGCAGAGCAAAGCTGCATTTGCTGGGGAGGGCAGGTGGAGACGTCATTGGCAGAGGCCTCTGAGCAATACTGAATATTAGGGAAAATCTTTTAAAACGAGGTACATTCCTTGGCTTCCTGTAATTCAAGTAAAAGATTACAAGGGCACGGAGAAAAGAAGGAGAGGTCTTTTAATTGCTCAGATGCTGGTTTGAGAAGTATTTACTACTCATGTATAAGATACATCCCTGGTCAAGGTGATAGTCTCGTAGTTTCTTTGGGGACGCAGTGAGTGCATGTCACCTTCCACCAGTCGTTTTCTGCTGAAGTCCTCAGATATTCTACGTGGAGCATCTTCCCCTGTCGGTTCCGTTACCGAGCTCAGGAAAGAGCAAAGGCGGCGCAGCAGGTCTGCACCTCCAGGGAGTTGCTCCTTGATCTGGAACAAAAGCTCACGACTGGCTCCCTGGCAAAACTGCCCTGGGGGGAACTCCAGAGGAGAAAGGCAGGGCGAGCTGACTGCAAGAGAGGAGAGGGAAATCAGTCCATGTTTTGTCATTACTCTTTACCTGAATTTTACTTAGCCCACCATGGTAACAGGGGGATGCACTCGAGGCACTCGTTTGTTGGCTCCTTTGCTGCTGCTGCAAAGCCTTGAGCTAAGTTTGGGCGTGTTTGTGAGTTGAGGCACAACGTTAGTGTGACACCAAAGTTTGTTCTTCAGTGTAAGGGGAAAGCAAAGCACAAGAGGGCAGAGTTTCAGAAGAATGGCAAGTGTGCAGGTATCCGTGTGGCTCAGATGCTCAAGAGACTGGAGAAGTCTTGCAAGTGGAAAGAAATGTTTTTCTGTGTGGCAAAGAAGACGGAGCTTTGTTTTTGGAGGGATGACAAGAGGTGTGATAAGGGTCTAGTGAAGAGGTGCAGTCTACTGCTGAAGATAAGGAGAGGACCTTGGGAAATAAAGAGATTGTGTTCTAATCTCAAGCATGTCACTAGTCTCCCTGCATAACTTTGTCTACACCACTTAACCTCTCTGTGCCTCAGTTTCCTCCTCTGTAAAATGGGTGCAATACCCATCTTTTTAAAGTACTTTGAGATCCATGCATGAAATAAATCTGCCAAGTATTTTCTGTTTATTGTATTTTTTCATCTCTAATTTCTACACTCCTAGACTTCAGCGGATGGTTTTACCTCTGCCTACTGAATTTTGATCAAACCAATCTCCTTCCTACTTTCTACAGTTCTAGAACAAACTGTTACTGACCTAAAATCATGGCATGTCAAAGACTGACATAGAGGAAAGATAACTGTAGAAAGTGACACTTTTGGGGCATCCTCATTCCTCCAAATCTGGTCACAACCACATGAACGCAGCCATCTTTGTGCTGCTGATAATCCATCTGCTGAAAGTGGCCTTATTATAGTTTCAGCAAGTCTGATGGAGAACTGGCTTATGTCCATCGTAACTTCCCTCTGTGTATCCTCACTCTTGGAGATGGGCACTTTAGCCACATGAAACTAGGAGTGTGGATATTTGGAGGCAAGTATCTCTGGTTACTGGTAAGTAACCTTCATTTTTTTTCTTCCCGTCTTCATTTGTCTTCTATGCTTTGAAACCACCATTGACCTTATTTACACTCACCCATAGGCTCCAAAGGCTGGAAAACTCACGTCATGCTTAAAATCCAACTAAACTGAGTTAAACTAGCCAGGCAAGATTTGGAAAATATTTCTGCGCTGCAGTTCTGTGTGTGTGAATGTATATATATGGCAAAGATTGACATTTCTCAATTTGCAGATGATTTGCTAAAGCAGTTCCAAAATGTGACAAGCTGTCAAAAACCATATATTTCAGAAGAGAAGTAGCTTTTGTATAAGCACCCATTGTAATCACAAACCGAGGACCGGTTTTTCAATAACAGAAGGTTATGGAGTTAAAGTCAGACACTTGGGGTCTCTGGTTTTAGTTTTATAACCAACTTCATCTGCCATACATGAGATTCTTGATAAGAATGAATGAGAACAAATTTGCTTTAGGAATAAATTTGTTATGCCTCTGCCTCCTATTTATACAAGATCTTGTGGCATAATATAAGTAACTTGGAAGCTGATTCTTTGATCTTGCTCCTCTGACTTCTGCTTTCAAGGGAAGTTAAAGGTGGCGGAGAGGGAGGACAACCGGTAGCGATAAGCCAAAGAGAACTGACCGGGAGCAGATGTAAAGGGCTAAAGAGCTCCAGAGGGCAGCCTGCTGCACAGCTTTGGCATATCGGGCTCAGCTGTGCAGGGTTTGGTGTAGCAGGATGAATGGGATTTAAAAGGACAGTCACTCCGAAATGCCGATGGGGCCCTAATCGAGTTAGTCCCGAGAGGGTAGTCCTTCAGACCCCGCCTCTGTGCGAAGGTGTCAGACTTTCTTTCCAGATCTCTCTGTGCCTGATGAGTATCCAAGCTCTGAAAGCCTGTGAAGTTTCTAGACTGCTCAGCTGTTTCTGTTCTATGCTTTCTTTTTCTCTAAAGCAACAATCCCGCTCATAAATACTATCTGGCCGTGGACCCTGTTTCAGGCTCACTGTACGTGTCGGACACCAATAGCCGACGGATCTACAAAGTCAAGTCCCTCACTGGCACGAAAGACCTAGCTGGTAACTCCGAGGTGGTGGCAGGGACTGGAGAGCAATGCCTGCCCTTTGATGAAGCCAGATGTGGGGATGGAGGAAAGGCAGTGGACGCGACCCTAATGAGCCCTCGAGGTAAAGTAGGCAAAGAAGCTGGAGAAAATGACTGCGTGAGGCTAGGCTGGATGTGGAAATAATTATCTGGCAATTAAATCACTCCTTGCTCGGTAATTTTTATTCTGGGCTTTAATTGCAGTGGATTGGCAAGTGTTCGTGCTTTGTTTAGTTAAAGCAAACTTTATTACCCCAACACTGAGCGTTGCAAAAGGAGAACAGAACACAAATTAGCAGGGTACCGCTCACTTCAAGAAACAAGCGTGTAAACTGGGAAGCACATTACTGCTTGAGATACAGTCTCCGGGGAGTAAAACTGCCTGCTGTGGCTTCTCTCTGAGTTTTTATTCTGTGTAGCCCCTTTTTCTTCAGAGGCAGTGGAAAAATAAAAGGATTTTTGACCTTTCCAGTTTCTCATTTTTAACAAAATGCTTCAAGATGATGTGGAGATTTGGAGATGTGTTTGTTTTAAAGGTTTTATTTTTTTCCCCCCGTTGTTTCGTCTTAATTGTAAGGATAAATTAATCGGATGTATTGCCAGATATTTCAAACGTCTTGGGGTTTTATTTCAGTGGTTGAAAATAGCTAGGTGACCTTAAAAGTGAAAGGCCCCATTTCTTTG